CTGCACCTCCAAGGAAGAGCACTGTGATGGTACGAAAAATTCCCCGTGATGTCATGTGTACATTGTCTAACACCGTACGACAGAGAAGTGTATCGTTGCTGCTGCCGCCGTCGAGTGCGAGAAATCCTGCGAAGACGACACAGCCCACGATGGTATGCTATGAAATCCTGGTCATCGTCAAGTGTGCTTACAGCTCACAGAAGTAGGTGCCCACGAGCATTCCCATGACAAGGACGGCCGCCATCCGGCCTCTGCTTGCAGCACCCATCTCTCCAAGGCTTTCGAGCAGTACAGCGCCTATCTCGAATCGGCCCGTTGCATTTGCCGCAGCATTCTTGATCGCGGTCTTCCAACCGCCTGCTGCAGCGAGCAAAAGCCCGCCGTCACAGCCGCAGCCGCTCCTGTGAAGTCTTCCGCCGGGGAGAAGCGCCGCGAACCTGCCGAGGCGCACACGACCGCGCATGCTCATGGCCAACACAAGCATCATCATCATCACGGGATTAAGCGACGTGGCAATAAATCGCAAGCCGTTCACGACCATGACATGGCCATCAAGCCTATTCGCGATGATCAGTCCGACTGCTGCAGCGGCCACGACGTTGAAGCTCCTGGATCCGCTTACGAGAAAGGAAACCTTGCCATTGATGGCAACATGGACAAGGATATCGAGAAGGATGCTGGATCCGAGCACGTTGCCCTCGTTGTCGACGGCATGACCTGTTCTGGATGCGGGAACAAACTTGAACGAACCCTCAAAGGGATACCTGGAGTGTCTGGTGTGCGCGTCAACTTTGTCATGGGCAACGCCGAGTTCACTCTTGACGGTTCTGCAGGAAAGGCCGACGACATCATCCGCAACACCGAACGGGCGACAGGCTTCCATTGCACTCGAATGTCGAGCGATGATCAGACGCTGGACATTCTCGCCTCGGGCCCGTCTGCTAAGGCGCTGACTGACCTGGCGATCGTTGGCATAAGCGAAGTGTGCTTGATTGACAAAAGAACTGCAAGAGTCACCTATGACCCAGCTGTTATTGGAGCTCGAACGCTTTTCAACAAATTAGGACCGCACTCGACTGGACTAGCTCCCCCTCGCGATGACCCGTCCATCGCAAGTGGAAGAAAGAGGATGTATGATCAACTGATCAAGACGGCCGCCGCGGCGACTCTCACCATTCCCGTCGTTGTTCTCGCCTGGGGCGAGAAGCTTGAACCCAAGACACGCTCGATTATTTCGATTGTCTTGGCGACTTTCGTTCAGCTCATAGCCGTGCCAGACTTTTACAAACCAGCCATATCATCTCTCATGCACAGCGGCGCTATTGAGATGGACATGCTGGTTGTCATCAGCATCACGGCTGCATATGTCTACTCGGTTGTAGGATTTGGATTTCATATGGCTGACCGGCCACTCGATCCCCGCGAGTTCTTCGAAACGAGTACCCTCCTGATTACACTTGTGCTTCTCGGCCGCTTGACTGCTGCTTACGCACGCATTCGTGCCGTTGCTGCCGTGTCCCTGCGTTCGCTACAGACGTCAACTGCAGTTGTTATTGAAGATGGGAAGGATGTTCAAATCGACGCCCGCCTCCTCCAGTACGGCGACAAGTTCAAAGTTCTCCCGCACTCGGTTGTCCCTACAGACGGCCTTGTGGTCACTGGATCGAGTGAGGTCGACGAGTCTATGCTGACTGGTGAGAGCGTCCCGGTCTTCAAAACATCGCGTGACACTGTGATCGCAGGCACCATCAACGGATCCGGCACTCTGATCGCCCAACTTACTCGTCTCCCTGGAAAGAACACCGTTACCGACATTGCCGAACTAGTCGAGGAAGCAGCAAATTCCAAACCAAGGATTCAGGACGTTGCAGATCGTGTCGCAGGGTGGTTCGTGCCTGTCGTCACGGCCGTTGCCATTGTTGTCCTTGTTGTCTGGACCGTCATCGGTGTCAGAGTTCATGGCGAACCGACTGGGAAGTCGATCTCCACTGCCATCACCTACGCTATTGCTGCCCTCGCTGTCTCTTGTCCTTGCGCACTCGGCCTTGCGGTGCCTATGGTCTTGGTTGTGGCCGGTGGCATTGCCGCTAGAGGAGGTGTCATCATCAAATCAGCCGAGTGCACCGAGAGGGCTCGAAAGGTTAGCGATGTCGTATTCGACAAGACTGGGACCATAACTGAGGGCGATCTTGACGTTATCGAGGAACAGATTCTGCTTGCCGACCATGACGAGGCTCGTGCCATCACCAAAGCCCTTGTGGCAGGCAACAACCACCCCGTGTCTACAGCCCTGGCGAAATACCTTGCCTCACGGGCAACCCGCGAGGTCAAGGTTACCGATTCTCGAGTCATCCCTGGCGCAGGTGTTGAAGCAAGCTACAATGGCCACAAAGTCTGCGCCGGAAACCCCTCGTGGACTGACGCCAATGCTCTGCCTTCCGTCTTCCGTTTCCAAGAGTCGAACATGACGATCCTCGTCATCACCAGTGACTCTATCCCTATTGCCATATTTGGATTGCGCACACGTCTTCGTTCGGAAGCAAAAAAAGTTGTCGCTCAGCTCACACGTCAAAACATTGCCGTTCACTTGGTTTCTGGTGACCAAACTCAGGCCGTTGAGTCTGTCGCCGCCCAAGTTAGCATCCACAATGTGGCGTCTCGGCGCACCCCGTCGCAGAAGCGTGACTATGTTGCCTCGTTAATGTCAGAGGGCAAGATCGTCATGTTTGTCGGCGACGGAACCAACGATGCGGTGGCAGTCACCAAGGCTGATGTAGGCGTTCAACTTGGCAGCGCAGCTTCAGCCAGCGATGTCACACGCGGAGCTGCAGATGTAGTTCTCCTTGCAGGCCTCGAGGGTATCCCCTTCGTGCTTGAGGTCAGCCGCGCCAGCTTCCACCGCATGGTGTTCAACTTTGTATGGTCGGCCGTGTACAACGTGCTCGCCATCTTGCTTGCCGGAGGCGCGTTCGAGCCTGTCCACTTCAAGATCCCTCCCGCATATGCGGGCTTGGGTGAAATGGTCAGCGTGATCCCTGTCATCGTCGCTGCCCTGACAATGTTGGGGAAGAAGATCCGAACCGAGGTCTAAGGGGCAGGTGTTGAACACGTGTGATGAGGCCTGGCTGGCACGTTCAACACCTGCGGGCTGAGGCATAGGTCGATTTTTTCTTTCTCGTCATTACTGGTTGATGACGGCTGTTCTGGGAGATAGGGATTCAACACCACCGACAAACGCAAAGGGATTGAAGTCTGGTCTGGCATTTTGCTTACTTTGCTTCGTTTACGAGTGCGATGAAGTTACTAGAGCAACCACGACTTGGTAGCTTCACTGGGCTTCTCACTTCCGCTCGCTCTGAGGAGGTTCTTACTACAAGAAGACGTTTAACGTGCCGAGGTCTGCCACTCTGGTGCATGGCTAGAAGAGGTGACCAATCGATTACGGGAATATAAATACAAGAGACTGCGATTGCTTGTCCAACTCTCCTTTTGCTTGTGTGTCGATTTCTTGCCAAGTTACGCCCTCGATGCGAAAATAGCCTCAGTGTCATTCATGTGTCGAAAGATGTGTTTATGGGATACACGAGATGAGGCTTATCACAGATTCTCTGAAAACTAATCTCTTTCCATCTCTTCCAGTTCAGCTGAACCTGACATGGCGGCTTGTGTGGGAAAGGGGGAACGCAGAGCCCTGAAGAGCCTCAGCACATCAGAGTTGTCTTATTACTGTGACCGAGCAGCGTCTTGTGAAATTTTGGATGTGAGGTCTGCTGAGAGTTGTTTCATTCTCTTCAAGGGAAGATTACATCAAAGTTGATTCGCCAAACGTACCTTGCCAGTGCCATGTACAGACATGTTGGATTGCACAGCGAATCACGATTCACACATTCTCCAACCTCACTCATTGGCCATATCGGAATAGGCCTACCTACAGCCGATGACGTCTTGCAACAATAATCCTCGCACTTTGATATTTGCATTGCCCAATCCAGAGACGTGCATTACCAAACAAAATCTTGCCGCCCCGCCGAAAAGACGGGACTTGCTCCGGATCCACCGTGAAGTGCTGTCAACGGTGAACGGCCCCGCAGGAGCCCAGCCACCAAGACTCGGAGGGCAACGATGTGAACCAGCCACATGGAGCCCGGAGGACCAGCTTGTGATCTCGAACTCTCGAATCGAGCGCAGTCCGCGGGGAGACAGGGTGTACGGATGCAATAAAGTTATTGCGTCCTGCCATGAGAGTAAGCGTATCAAAGCATACAAGAACGTCAGCATCCTTGCACAGCTGCCATGGGAGTCGATGCTAGGGCGCAAATGTCGTGCAGGCGATGACAGCATATGTCAGGTGCTGAGCGGTGAGAGTAAAGTATGAGGCGTCGTGATGCGAGAAGTGAGGCTGGGTGGCGACAAAAGTGTGGCATCGTCGCTATAGACCGTACTAACTCAAACCAACAACATGCAAAAGCCTGGCACATCGAGTTGACCACGTGAGCGGTCAAGGTGCGGATGTGACATGGAGCCGGGAGGGTGGATTGCATTCATCGGGATCGTGATTCTGGCCTTGATGCACCACGGAGGCTGACTTGCGTGGTGGGGTAAGTTCCACGATGGAGGTGGTTTGAGACCACCGACCAGTCACCGCCGGGCCGGATCGGTGTGTAAGCCGGTAAGGGTAGGGTTGCTGTTGGTCCGGCCGACATCTGTGGGCGGCGAGGAAGAGAAAAAAAAAAGCAAAGAAACAAATGCGAGAGGAAGTGCGGGCAGGGTTCAAGGTTTGACTCGTCGGCATTGCGATGACAGATTTGGCTAACAGATTGGATACCCGCTCTAAGCGCATGCGCGACTTGCAAGTGATGGGCATTTTTATTTTGAGTGACACTCTCTGCCTTGGAAGTTAACAAACAACGGATTTGCACGGGGACAGGGCAGTGACCCTGGGTGCCAACAAGAGCCACGATGTGAAAGAGGCTGAGAATGGCAGGCTGTCTCATCCATGGTCAATGGAGAGAAATAACTCGGGGTTGCGAAATAGGGTTTATGCGTGCAGCAAGTGGCATCGTCATGCGCAGTGGGGACGGATCTCGCTCTTGTGCACATGTCGTGGTTTGGCGGCCGACGTGTGACCACCGGCCAAGCCCGCAGCGTTTTTGGCGTCCGGTTCCTTGGGTTATAGGCGGATCGTCAAGTGCGTTGGCGCTTGTTGGCTTCGGGCTCCCATGCAGTTGAGGAGGGATGGCCATTTGTACGTGGACTGGATGTAAGGATGACCGTCTAATGCAGGGTACTCGTTGGGCAACTGAACCGTCGTCAGTCGGTCCAGTGGTGGTAGGTCCTTTAGATAGACGAGAAGGTATAGAGAACCAAGGCGATGGATGTTGACCGAGAGTTTGCGAACACACCCGACTGTGAAAGTCTGAAGTTTCGAGGTCGGCGAGTGGAACTTTCTGGTTCCGTATATCGGCGCTTTCCTCGGGTCCGGGCAGGCAGGCAGGCACGGCCACCATACAGGAAGACGGCAGGTTCGGGATGGGAACATAACTGGCAACTGCAGCTCGGTCGATCTGATGTCGTGCCTGCCGGTGCCTTGGACTGAAGCAACATAAGCAGCAGATTGAGCAGCAAAAGGAAGGCATGGAGGGGTCTTGGCACGGCTCTTGCTGTTTGTGTTTGATCTGCCCACCCAATGGAAGGCGCGGACCGGCGCGAGAATGCGACTGCCAAACACTCACCTTCCTCACCTCACCTTGAGGTACCCTTACCTTAGGTAATACAGTACGTAGTGAGGGACTAAACGCTTATCTAATCTGATCTTGCCATTCTGAGCTCCGTAACCATCCGGACTCCTCTTTTGCCTTTGTCTTTTTTTAATCCTTCGGGAAGCGTTGCACATTTTTTGTCCAGGCTCAAACGGGAGGCGCCTCATCTTGCCCTTTTTCCAGCAGCCGGTCGCCTCAGACGGGAAGCTCAGCCTCCTCACGTTTGTCCAATGTTTGTCCGTCACTACTCCGTACATACGTAGTAGTATGTCAACTCCAACTTTTGCTTATGGTTTATTACCCGCTGCTGACGCCGCAGTCCCCTTGTTGCGCACGGCCTCTGGGGGTTCCATCATTTGACAGGGCTGCCCGGAACGACTACTTTGCATCGGCTTATTAGCCAAACGCCAATAGGCCCAAATACTCTGTACCATGCTCTCTTCTGGATAGGCCAAGCGGCATGCCATGGCAGATGCGAATCGGCTCGTTAGAGTGGTGTCATCCCGCCATGTCCGCCTGATGCCCCCATTCTACCCGCCAGAGACCCACGAGCTACTAATTAGTAATGGGAGAGGCGTATCCGTACCGATCCTGATAGACCAAGGGACCAAGGACATGGGCTTCGCTTCCCGCCCGAGCCGTCGATAGCTTCGACAATCCCAACTCTGATCGGGTCTTGGCTCGACCCTCATAGATACTGCCCATTCAGCTTACGTGCCGTGTCTGTGACGCCTGCACCTCGTCCTGCGGCCTCCGAACCTCTCCTCTGGGGCTGCCCAGTCTGCCTGCATGCCGTGTCGTTGGACCAGGCTGCTCGTTGGATCGTCGTCCTGCAGCCTGCAGTGCGAGGCAAGCTGCAAGTCGCGGCAGCCTGGGATCGTCGCAAATCGACAATTCCCCCTTGGAAAGCCCATCTTACCCATCGCTAAGGCGGCAGCAGCACACCCTTACCGTTACAGCTCTTCCAATGAGACCGGGGTCTAGAGGAACTTCTGCTGTGCCTTGCTCTAGTTGCACACAAGCCCGGCTCTCAAGGGACCATTCACCGTCTTTGCATTTGTAATGACCATCATTTCTCACAACCCGCTGTGCTGAACACACCGCAAGGTTGTTGATATTGTACATGACATTGACAGCCGGCGGGCGGCATACGCAGCATGAACCTGGAATGGGATGAGGTAGGCTGGCCGCAGACTTGGCCGTGGAGAAAGAGATTGCATGCCTCCTGCTCTACCAAGCTTCCTGCTATGCTTCCCTTCCCCTTCCAAAAGCACCTTGGATCGTAGTTATTCACGGTCAAAACACCACCGACTGCGGAGTCGAGTCAGGAATGTTGCTCCATTTCGTACGGCACGGTCCCAGAAGGGCACGAACAGAGAGAAGAGTGACGGGAATCCCTCCGCAAACACACAGACGCACAAGAATCAGATACAGGGCACAGGCGGCACCCTTGATCCCTCATCCCTCATCCTAGGCCTCTTGAGTCCTTGACAAGCATCGCATCCGAGCACTGACTGGCATCCTCACCTCCAGGCTCCAGGCCTCCCAAGCATGGACCCAACAGCCAGGATTAGGGCCATGGGTTGGAGGGACTTGGAGCTGCGCCCGGGTCACTGGCCTTTCTGGGCAAGGCTAAACCCCCACGGACAACTGTCATTCGTCCACCAATCCGTAACTCGTTTTTTCTCTCGCTTTCAACCTGTGCCAGCGAAATCCCATCTGCACCTCTTACGTTGCATCATCTTTTCAGCCCATTCACACAACGTCCGTCATCCCTAGACGTCCGCGAAACCGCCGCCGGTCAACAATTCGACACCGGTGTGGTTCCCTACCAGCGCAGTAGTTGCAACTTGCCGCTCCAGCTTCTTGGGGTTCCCACCGATCTGATTCCACTCTAAACCCGCTAGTGTTCCTTTTCTTGGCCACCAAGTGGCTTTCCCCCGTCTACCAACCGAGACAAGCGGCCCAATACTGCCAAACAAAACCCGGTGCCACGCCTCAGCTCACGAAAGGGAGAGGGAGCAGCATCAAGGCAGGGCAGGGTAGGCCAGTTCACAGGAACAGGACCTCTTATTGCGGTCAACGTCTAGGCTTCCATTCAATCGTCCGAGTTGTGTCAACTTTGGCCAGTCAAGGTTCCGTGCCGTTCCGTTAACGCAGCTGGGCCACATCACACATTGAATCAGCACACAAACAGACTATCCGTACGGAGTACACTTCTCAGTCTCTAGTTTCTCTCTTTCTCAGCCTCTCTCCCTCTATCGTCCACACCCCCGACGGTAGCCACCCCCACCAAGCTACCATTCCCACGCCCACGCCCACTCCCTCCAGACCAGTCCGCCGCGGTGCCCCCCTCCATCCCTCCATCCAGAGCCCACGGTCAAGGCCCATGGTCCACAGTCCACTCACACTACTCGCGCTTCCCTGTCGTCTCTGTTTCTGACCCGTCACTCGTTGCTTCTTCTTGCCTGTCCGGGCTACTGCCACTGGCACTCGACTGGTGAGGAGCCATGAGCCAAAGAAGGGCATCCGGCCACAAAAGCAAGCCAAAGGCACCTTTCCCTCCCGACCCCGACGCCGATACGGTTGCTTTGGCTCTAGAACCTCTGCCTCTTCTTGCACCTGCAGACGGTCCCACGAACGACAGCACTGCCGCTGAAGCTGATGTTGCGAATCCTTCGACTACCTCGTCATCCGTACAAACCGCCTCTGGCCCATATAACACGGCACGCCACCCTCGATCTCGCCCTTCCACTTTGCGAAGCCGACCCTCTACCCTTTCCCACGCTTCTAGCGCCGGCGAACATGGTGACGATACGATCGAACCGAACCCTCAGTCTCCCGTCCCGCATCTAGACGACGGCATAATGCCTTCGAAACCTTCTCTCTTGCGCTCTTCGCGCGACGACGCCCCTTCATACGGCGCCGTATCCCAAGATCCCAGCCGCAATGTATCACCTACTGGGAGTGATTCAAGGACGGGAAACGCACATCCAATGCGATATGTATCCGACACCACCAGGTCAGCTTCCTCGAGGTTCTCCACTGCCTCAAGAAGGGAGAGCTCTCGTCTATCCGAGGAGTTGGATGCTGCCGCCCTTACAACCGGGCTGGAGGGGCGCTTTGGTGTAACCCAAGCTCCGGTGACGACAAACATGCTCGAGGATGCAAAATCAGACGCGGCCGAGGATGAGGTGGACTACGATGACTACACAGGCAGCGAACCCGACGAGGATCCGGCTGATAATTCGCCTCACGAAGTCGTCCGCGCCTCGGTGCCACCAACGGATAATATCACCCTGTCCATCAACACTCCGAGAATGTGGACGCTGTCGTTTTTGTTTTCAGTGCTTGGTTCCTCTACCAACTTGTTCTTCTCGCTACGATACCCCAGTGTTGCTATTACGCCCGTCATTGCCTTGTTGCTTGTCCACCCACTTGGTCTCATGTGGGACTACCTCCTCAAATATCACAGCGATCCTGCGGAGGAATTTCTGGATGGTGTTCTCCAGACTGATGCCGTGAACCGGCCGCCAGCGAAACGATCCGTGACCCGATTTCGCAGATGGCTTGCGCAAGGTCGGTGGAACGAAAAGGAGCATACTTGCGTCTACGTGAGCAGCAACGTCTCGTTCGGCTTCGCTTTTGCTACCGACGTCATTGTCGAGCAGTCTAGGTTTTACCACCAGGAAGCCACAATCACCTATCAAATTCTCCTGATCCTGTCGACTCAAATCCTCGGCTACGCTTTTGCCGGCCTTACGCGTCGATTTCTGGTTCGACCCAGCGGTATGATTTGGCCCGGAACCTTGATGTCTGCGGCCATGTTCGGGACTCTCCACAAGGAAGAGAACAGGATCGCGGACGGCTGGAGGATCTCGAGGTGGAAGTTTTTCTACCTCGTTTGGTTCGGCGGTTTCGTCTTTTACTTCCTTCCCGGCCTCCTGATGCCTTGTCTCAGCTACTTCAACGTCATTACGTGGTTTGCGCCGAAAAACGTGGTGGTTGCCAACCTATTTGGCACTGTTTCTGGCCTGGGACTGTTCCCCCTGACCTTCGACTGGGCTCAGGTCACGTATATTGGATCTCCCCTTTTGGTCCCTTTCTGGGCTGCGATGAACGTCATTGGCGGTCTCGTCATCGTCATGTGGCTCATTGCGCCTATCGCCTACTACGCCAATGTGTTCTACTCATCGTATATGCCAATTTTGTCTTCTGCGGTATTCGACAACAAGGGCAAGGTCTACGATGTGAGCAAGATCCTGACATCCGAGTTCCTCTTCGACAGAGATGCATACAGCAAGTACAGTCGAGTGTTCCTGCCCATCACCTATGTGCTCAGCTATGGTGTTCAGTTCGCTGCCCTGGCGGCGCTGCTGACGCACACGGTTTGCTGGCATGGCAAGGATATGTGGAATACGTGGAAAACGGCCATGGCGGAAGCTCGCAATGAAGGCCAGGCGGTTTACCAGCCTGTCTCGGGCAGCTCTGAGCACATCAGACCCCAGCGATCATTCAGCAGTCACGGAGGTCTCTCAAGATCTTCATCCAACCTCGAGGGCATGATGTTCCGAGAAGATGTTCACTGCCGGCTGATGAAGCGGTACAAGGATGCTCCCCTTTCCTGGTATCTAGCAACGTTCGTCTCGATGCTGGCAGTGGGCATTTTTGTCGTCGAATAGTAAGACTCACCTCACAAATTGAATCGATTATAGGCTAACAGTATAGTTACCCCATCCACCTCCCGTGGTACGGCTTGCTCATGTCACTGGGGATCTGCGCCATATTCTTCATCCCTAATGGCATCATCATGGCAGTGACCAATCAGCACAGCAGCATCTACCTCATCTGCCAGCTCATCTGCGGCGCCGTGTTCCCTGGCCGCCCAATCGCAAACATGGTGTTTGTCACCTATGGCTACATCTCGTCAGCTCAAGGCATCAAGTTTGCCTCTGATCTCAAGCTCGGCCATTATATGAAGATTCCGCCCCGCATTATGTTTTCGGTGCAAATGGTGGCCACGATCGTGTCGTCCCTGACCCAGATTGGCGTTCTCAATTGGATGTTTGCCAATGTCAAGGGTATTTGTACGCCAGAGGCTGTTAATGGCTTCACATGCCCGATCGCGCGTGTGCACTTCAATGGCTCCATTCTCTGGGGTGTGGTTGGACCGGGCGAGTTCTTCGGACCGAACGCAACGTACCGCGGACTTGTGTGGTGCTTCCTGATTGGAGCCATCGCGCCGATTCCCCTGTGGCTCTACGCGCGCAAAAACAGGCACAGCATTCTCCGAAAGATCAATCTACCGGTCGTCTTCGGGTCCATGGCGTGGATCCCACCAGCGACGGGGCTCAACTTCTCGGTATGGGCGGTGGTATGCTATGTGTTCAACTACCTGGTCAAGAGGAGAAAGAGCGCGTGGTGGGCAAAGTACACCATGACTATGAGCGCGGCGTTGGACTCGAGTCTGGCGTTCGGCATCGTCGTGGTGTTCTTTGGCTTCGTCTACCCCGGGCACATGAAGGGCTTCAAATGGTGGGGTACAGAAGTGTACAAGCAGGGCTGCGACTGGCAAGCGTGCTCGTATAACACAGTGCCTGAGGGAGGGCATTTCGGCCCCGACAAGTGGTGATCCCTTTTGGCGACACGAAACGAAACGACTTTATGGAAATTCTTTGATACATTTTTCGGCATGGCAAGCAGGTATTGGGATGGCATAGTTTTTGGATTAAGATGCAAGAGATGGAGTTTTGCCATTGGCCGGGGTTGATTCAAGCCCTAGGGATAACCATTCACGCATTTAGAAGCACGTCATAGAGAGATGCTGCAATTTGATGTAAAGACCACTTTGGGTCTCGGTTTACGCCTGCCTCGATTCGTGCTGATGAATACAATCTGAAATGAACAGTGAGTCACAGGGTCCAAACAGAGAAACCAGTGACTCTTATTCCCGCGCGTAAGCTTCGTACACTACGAAGATCAAATCCGTCATCGTGGCTCCAGACCGTTTGATGCCCCCTCGCCAAAACCCAACTCGGTGCCGTCCGTGCCGGGACATCGCCGACCTTCTCGAAACGGACTGGGGGCGGCATCTGAATCCTTCCGTTGTGGGCGCAAGTAAGTCGGAGAACTGTATGCGAGATTGACATTGCCATGAAGGAAAATGAGTCAGCCTGCCCCTTGCTGGGATAGGTTAAGCTAGGCAATTTTGGGGTTGGAATAAAAAGTGAGGCCAAATTCGGGTGGATTGATCTTTGCGGCTGACGCTACTCTCGTATTGGCTGACGGGTGCTGTTGGAGCCGCTGCCGATTGCGACGTTCCATGGAAAGCGAGCGTGGGAGGGTTTTCGTCCTGTATTCTGACGGCCGTCAGCACATTTAGGATTCGGTTTAGAGGATTGCGATGGGCAGGGGGCTTGGAGTATCGGATTGTTGGTATTGAGAGGGGTCAGAGGTTCGCGGGGTGAGGGGCAT